AAAGACGTTGAAAAACATGTGAAAGCGATCTATAAATGGATATAAATGATCTGATATTTATACTACATTATACTACTGCAGAGGACTGGTAAGCTGTGTCACAGCTCTGTTAGCTTTGTGCAGATTGTCTTTGGCATCGCCGTGAACAAGCGTATACTTTCATAAGCACGCGCCCCCGCGGGCATCGCGGGCCGCCGCCAAACGGCCTCCGCGGATCTCCTCTGAGGTGCAAGGCTTGGGGCAACTCTTGAAGCCCAAGCGGGGCACGCAGATCTTGGCCTTCGCCTACCAGTGTCGGGTGGGTCAGGTCCGTCGGTACGCCCAGCCCAGTCCCCACCGGTGACCGGTGACCGGCGTGTTGATGGTGGGCAGACCGACGGGCAGACCAGACAGGTCTGACCTGCGTGGCTGTCGGTCCGACCGGCACATAGGGAGAGTTGAAGGATCGACATGAGAGGGCTTGCACTGTCCAATCCATGGATGTCCCAGCTGAAGGACTACCCAGCTGAATGACTTAGGAATTAAAAACATACCATCCCTTGAATGGTCCTGTGATTCTATATTCTGGATCCGAGGACGACGAAGGCTATGACTCCACGACAAAAGCACACCAGGGGAACACCAACCAAACAAAGTGCATTCTTAGAACTTACGACTTACTCTGTAGAATATCAATATATGAATTACATAATTATCAGAAGGGACCGTTCCCAAATTGGTCAGGAAACTGTTCGCGGTCTTTTAAAACATTGACCAACACAGCCTGTGCTTTATGAACCCTGTCAAGTGAAGCGATACTTGCTAGTAGCGTGAGTGAACACGCAGGACGTGTCAAGGAAGTCGCAAAGGAAGTCGCAGCAGGGGCCCTTCTCTTCACATAACCCGTGCTTGAATTTTGCATGTCAAAGTTTAACAATCTAACAGAACAATGCATCTTACGGTGCTTTCCTCCTGAAGAACAAGTATTAATGACTCTGATGTCTATCCGGATATGGGCACAATCGCACCGAATCACCCCAAACAAAGTGATGCTTGATCCGAACCAGGAACCAGAAGCATCACACTATCACTATCTCACTGCATGTGTACGTCACCCCAACGGTGGACTTCACCCCACTCCGTCAACCCCAAAAACACTCCAACCCATCGCTGACTCGCTGATGTTCTCAGGCGCCCCAAAGAACCAAGGTGCATCGTTGGGATCGGGGCAGCTCTCGGTGTTCTTCCCACACTTGCAGGCACTGCCCTTTTGCACGCATTGCGTTTCAAAGTCGCTCACCTTCCTGACGGCCAAAACGGACGGGCATCCACGACGGCCAAACGTGGTGCCGAAGGAGGAGTGCCACGCCGTTCAAGGAAAGAACTGTGGGGGCTGGTGGTGTTTCATCAAAGGAGTGGAAGGGCTGGCATCATTGGGTTCCGATAGTTTGACCCTTAAGTGAACTCGCCTTGTGAAAAGACGATGAAGAACGGAGTTTGTCACCAGAACGCCTTGTGCGTTGTGTAGAACCTTGATCGACTCATCTTCCGAACCGAGATAGGGCTCACCGCCATAGTTTGATGTTCCCCAACAAATCGGCACAGAAAAGACCAAGTCATGTCATGTGAGTCAAGGAGGTTCCTTCAACTGTGAAAGCACTATATAAGCTACTCCATCGATCTTCCCTTCTTGCCGCTCTGATCTTCCCCCTTACGGTGGACTCCCGGATCCCCCAGAAGCCACGACAGCCGCGGCGATCTTCCCCCTGTCCAGAGTCGCCAGTGTCAGCCAGCGAGCTGGTATGGACTGCTATGGACTCGGGTTGGTGGGATGTGGTGCCAATAATATATACAGTATATCATAGAGACAGGGAGAGAGAGAGAGAGAGTTCTAGTTCTATAACGATTTATCCGCCAGGACCTTCCCAGTGACCTCTTTGGAGTCCCGAATTCAGCTGTTTGCGTGTGACCTGTTCCTGCCCTGTACCTTTTTGGGACTCCTCTGTTCCGATCAAGTTCAGTCACTGGGACGATCCAGGCCAAGAGACCCATACTTGTCGTAGTTCACCACATAGCACTGCTCCTCCCGCTCCTGTCGAACGAAACACCATCAGGCTAGTATGTTATAAGAATACGTGGTCTTTAAACTTTAGTTGATCATCTGGTCGAGCATACTTCGAATTCTTAGTCTTTTGTTCGCACTTGTGTCTGTATCTTCTCCTTAGTTCTTTTCTACCGCGCACCCACCCCGGTCCGGAGTCTACAGAGTCCACTGAAAAGGCGGTCTCCCAACTGGCACTCGAAACCATCAAACATCACCATCACCTTTTTGGAAGTCTTGGCGGTTGTTGTTTTTTAACGTTTTTCCCCAACATCCACATGGAAGAAAAAGACTGAAATGCTTTGGACACCATCTGTACAGTTCAGGTCAAACAGCCAGAAAACGCGGTTCACTTTGCGCGCCAGGGATGTTTTGCACGTCGCGTTGCGAACACGCCACATGCACGTGCGTGGGGGGGCCTTGCAAGGGCAAAGCAGCTCCATCTCACTCTCTAAGAGGCAAAGCTCCAGGGTTTCGCACCTGAGACGAAAGCCAGCGGAACCACGAGTCTCCGAGGTCACCGAAAGGAAAACCTTCGGTCCGTGGCGTCGCTTCCTTCGGCGTCTCGGCGTCCTTCGGCTGGGAGAAGTCATGCTCCTCACCCTAACGCAAAAGGTTTGGAGGAAAAAGGGACAAAAATTCAAGCCAACATCCACTCTCAGTTCTCTGAACGAATGGGCGGCGCGATTGCAACCCCAAAGTGGCCGAAATGAGCGTAAGCATATACTACCGGACCTTCAAAGTGACCGTCACTTAGTCACTAAAAGGTCACTAAGATACTCCACAGAGGTCACTTTGAAGGTCCTGGTAGTATGTGAATAAAAACAAATATATATATATATATTGTCCAAGTACTTGGATCAATTTGCCTCATCTTGAGACACCGTTTACAAGGGGCCCCATTGCAAAGATATACATGTTAAGTTGGCAAGCCGAACATATCATTCCCGAGCCGTTGCCCTTGGAATCTGAAAGTTTGGCCTTTTTCCACCTGTTGGTTTTGTCCCCAAGAGTCCCCAAAAGACCGCAGCGTGGTGTTTTTTGGAGTTCGCCCTTTCCTCTTCGGTCAGCCTGTTCGGATGACCCACCAGTTCCGAACGTCAGGATCGTCAGGCTTCGATGTAACAGGGCTCCAACCGACCCTGAAAGACGAACCTCGGGCTCTCGACATGGCCCTGGCGACGCAAATCGCTTGGACTTCGGGTGATTTCAACGAACGAACTCGACTCTCCAAAGAGAATTCGTCAGTGGACTGACGGACTCCGGTCATTTCAATGAAAACGGTCGTTTTATGCCGAGCTGCTTTCTCATGCCCTGTCCATTGCATGGGCAACTGGCATTCCGAGCCACCTGGTGGCACAAATATACGCGCTCGTGAGCTCGGAAACATGATGGATATGGTGGAGTGTTTGTTTTCATCCCTGGAAGTAGCTTTGTCAAAAATCCGAGGAGTTCATTTCCACAACCATCATTTTGATCATAAACTTATTATATACTCATATTACATCATATTACACTGACTGAATCTCAGAAAGGTCTAGAATTCGTGGCAAACAGCCAAACAGCATGTCGTGACAGGTATTACATTTCATCACTTTTGACGTAGAACAGGGGATCTGATCTCCTGCTATGATTAAAGTATGTGTTCATGAAGGAGAACCCAACATTGTCCATGTTCTATGGTTTTCTTTGTGAAAGCTTCCACTTGCTATTCCTAGCCACGTTAACCTACACCCCTTCTGTCCGCGCTCATGTTTGATCTGAGATCACTCCGGCTCCAACCACCACAAAACACCGTGAAATGACATGTCTGGACTCTCACAAGAGACCTGCTTGGTCGTTTCAACTCAGGAACAAACATACCACATAGATCCACCAAGGCCCATCGTGCACACCCGCGGGGCTCCCCAAGGTCCCTCCTTCGCAGATCCTGCGCAAACGTTCTGGGTGCAACGTTCTGGCGCGCAGGCATCCGATCTCGAGACGTCAAAAAGTCCTTCCAACGAAAAGAGCCGTTCTTCCCCGTTGCATCCCACACGTTTCATGGCCCAAAAACCAAACACCGCATGCATGGCAAGGGGCGCAGACTTCTCGGTCGCTCACGAACTCGCCGTTCTTATTGTAGGTGGACTCATAGCCTTATTGGTGGATCCAAGAGATGGTTCCTCTTTGATTGGTGAGTTCTCTGGGCACCTGATGGGTCGGCTGAGGTCGGATAGGCAGTCCCCCAGTCCCCAAGCTCACGACTTGACAGGGCGAGATGCGCAAATACAACTGATGCAACTGAGTATTCCGGCAACACGGCTCGCGCGGCGCAGGACCAGTTGGGTGTTTGTTTTGTCTTTTTTGCATCGTCTCTGAGCTGTTTCGCATTTCTAAGCCACGCATAGCGACGCAGCTAATGCTCAAAGGCATGCTCAAGGAACGTTTGGCGAGTAAGGGTTTTCCTCACTCGTCGAATGAAGGAAGATCTTTTCAACCACCTACGAATCCCCCAGGATTCCGTGGTCTACAAGTTGACCAGTTTGCTGGTTCGTTTGAAAGGGAAAGCAGTTTCAGCAAAAAAGGATGCTGAAGTTTCGTCTATGTATAGCCAAAGGTTGTATAAATGAAAGACGAAAGGATGTTTGGCTATATCATTATAATTCATTATATGCTTCTTTGAAGGATCAGGGCAAATCAAAGGAAGTTTGCGCTGAACACTTCTGCTTGCCCCCGACAGGCAGCCACTTTGGAGCCACCCTCTCGACTGGGAAGAACACCCAGTCAGATGGACAACGCTTGTATAAACACTCAGTCAAGGAGAGGTCCGTCTCAAAGGGAAAGCAGTTTCAGCAAAATGCTGACGATATCTATACCCACAGGTCTATGGACGAAACCCAGTTTAACCCTTATATATACAATCTTATGCTTCTATGAAGGACCAGTGAAGTTTTTGCTGAACACTTCTGCTTCCCCCGACAGGCAGCCTTGGAGCTACCCTCGCGACTGGAAACGGTGCAGCACCGCAACACCCAGTCAGATAGACGGTGCATAAACATGCATAAACACTCAGTCAGTCAAATATCTCATCCGGCGCGGCGTTTCCCCGGAACTGTCTCGTTCGCAAGCATGCCCGCAACTCATCCTCGGCTGGTCACATTTGCCGAGGGGACTGTTTTTGCTGGCCATCTGTTTTTGCACCTGAAAGTGCAATACGCTTCGTACCTTTCAAGATCTTTCAAGCCATGAAAAAAATACCCAAAATCTGCCTCTGAATAGAACCGCGCCCCACGCTTGTGTACAATTGACCATTGTTCATGGCATGAAGTCACCAACTCAGTTTCCTGAGAACATCATGTGCCTTTCTCCTAGGACTCTTCGGGGAAAAACCATGCAACACCATGCAAAACCAACAAAAAAAACTTCCCGGACCATCCGTGAGTGGCGTCAGCGAAGTTGCCGAGTTACGGATGTGAGGAGCCTGAAACCTGCAAACTGGGGTGTGAACATTCAATGCGTTGGTCTTTTTGAGGAGCCTGACTCCTCTATATATAGGAAGTCCCTGACTCGTCGAACGGTGGTGCCAAGCATTCTTTATGCGGACTTCGAGGGATTTGCTCCAAATCCAAACGGCATTTGTTCTATTGAGCGCGCTGGGAGTTACTGTATGAAGCATTTCCGCTCGCGTTGTCGGAGTGTGGAAACGCACGTCAGCACGTCAGCGGTGAGCAGCTACCCCCAACAGCCGGAGAGCTGAGTGCAGCCTACAAGTCTTGTCCATCTCTCTCTGGTGAAGCTTAGATGGAATACCAAATCAAGGGTCCAGACAATCGGCTGCCCAAACATACGAAGTCTTGATGGACATCTTTCGATATTATATAAATGCTATCTCTGTACAGCCAAGATGGATGGACAAAGGTATATTAAAACAATACAGAGCCGGTGACCTGGCCGGGGAGGACGTACTGAAAAGCAGAAATCAAAAGTCATCACCAACTCCCTGCGAACATGTATTGGCCTCTCCGGGGCTTGGAACATAACTCTTTCTAGGGTGGGCTCATAAGCAAAGAGACATATGATTGAACATGTGCTCCTCCGAATCTAGACGAATCTGGCAGGTCCCTAAGCGCTGGCACCACGCGAGGTTTTCTCTCGCCCGTCGAGGCGCCAAGACTTTGCAAAGGTGTCCAGGAACGTTCATGGGGCCTGCTGAGTATGCCTCTGGCAATTCTGGCCAAGGCAATAAAGACCTCCCACTCCCTTGAATAAATTTGATGGTCCAATTTGTTTTAAAGAACTGGTCCCAGAGTCACAATTTCCTTCAAACTACTTGCGATTCCAAGCAGTCTGAAAGAGTGGTTCAACACTGTGCCTCAACATCGTCTGTATCAGACCCATCTGTCTTTAGTACCTGCGCGAGGCCAGATTGAAGTGCAACGCTCCACGTAAGACATGAGCGGCCACGCCTTCCGTCTCTTTGGGAGGGGATACTCTTCCTCCATGGCCGACCCACGCGTGTATATTGTATATGGATACGCTCGAGCCTTCCTGAGACCGGCGGAAAGAACTCCAGTGGTTGATGCCGAGTAAGGGAGACCATCCCAGAGATCAATAATATCCGCAACTGAGAGGGATGGCGCGAAACCCACTAGCAATAGCTTTCAACCTACTAGCAGTGGCATCCAGCCTACTAGCAACGGCAACCAACCGACGAGTAACGGCCTCGAACCGAAGAGCGATGACCTCCACCCTATCAGATTCCGCACTCACCCATGCATTGAAGGATTCACTTGGGTAACCAGGAATTAATGCGCGCGCAGGAACGCTCACAGCCCGGAGCTTGGATGCCGGGCGGCATGGGGAGCAGAAACTCCAAAGGCAAGAGCTGCCCAAAGAATGAACTAAATGTCGCCTGCCCAATGTTGGCTTTATACAGTTGCACAATGGGTTACGCTTCCTGAAAAAAGACACATGGTTACGTGGATGGCCCATGGCCCCAATTTGGATGACCATGTTAACACCAAACAGGCCAAACAGGTGTAGGACAATGGTCTCTTTGGTCTCTCTTTTCGCCTCCGCTTGCAAAATCTTCAAGACTTCGCCCGCTTCTTGGGTGATGTTGAGAAGCATTGCCCTTTCCCGGCAAAGCGCGGAGATCAGGTTGAAGAATTGGGAGTGGGATAAGGACTGCATGAAGTCTCTCTGCTTCTTGTTGGGCTTGCCCCCCTTGTTCTCGTGTGGAAGGTGGCAAAAAGCACAAGCAGCGCCGTTCTCGCAGTTTCCTGATGGAAAGGGAAGGACAAAAGGCATCCCAGAAGTCAGCTCTGCAAACATCCGCGATGTTGTTCGGTCACACGAGATCGATGTTTTTTTTGATTTCGGTGAAACCCGGGTGAAACCATGGTCGAAACCATGGTGCTCCAGGTCGTAACATCAGCAACCGTTTCTCCCCGGCCATGTCCGTTCAATAAAAAGTCAACATGTCTGTGTTGATGCTCAAGACTCGGTACATCAACCAATCACCAAACAAATGACAAAAGCTTCGCTTTTGGGGCCATTCCTGCTTCGGTCCTGAGGCCACGGTCTTGACAGGTGTCTATACAGGAACCCTGTGTGCAATAAAGTAAACAACGTGGATATCATCCACTGACCACCAATGGTGTCTGTTGATGATTAAAAAAAAGAAACGTCTCCCAAATGGTTTTACATCTCCACTCCCGGGAGGTTATATTCATCAACATTCAACAATCGACTTACCGATGATAGTAGTTTTTCGGTCGATCGCACACGTACCGTTTCCTGAAAAGAAAGGGATAGGAATCCACTGGGATACGTAGAAAACAAGAGGGAGCGAGGTACGGGAAATTCGGGCGCTGGATTAGGTAGGGGACAACATGGGACAATGTCCAGACCATTGTCCGATCGCAATCGCAAAGTTCTCTAAAGTGTCGGAGCATCAACGAAGATGGCGCAAGCACCGCGCGTCTCGATGTTCCCATCGACTCTTAGACCGAGAACCACCGGGACTTGTTTACAGGGTCCGTTCGTACCCCGTTCGTCCGCAGGGTCCGGTGTTTGTATTCCCAAGCGTCCTGCCATCAAGAAGAGGCAGGGCCTCCAGCAAAGCTCTGGGTGTCCAACGCTCCCACTCAGCATCTCTTGAGTCTCGGTCGTTGGTCCACTGGCGAGCGGGCTGCGATCTAAAGGGCTGGAGAGGCGCTCGGAGAGCTTCTGCACATAGGTCTCCTACGGTCAAACATGAAGAACTCAAGACCAACAAACATGCTTAGAAGAGAGCTCGCAAGAGCATAATTCAGAATGATGCAAAATGTGCATATCATATAACCCTTTACGATCTAGTTAATGCTGCCGAACCTGCAAAGGCCTGCTGCAAGCAGTAAGGCGAAGGGTCAGAAAACAATTTGGTTTAAAGTTTCCACCATTGCAGGTGCAGGTTCATGCGTCCATGAACCCTTCCGCCGAACTTCCATAGCTTCATTGTGCAAAGTGGGAAGAACGGTCGTTTCCCCCCCTGCTGAGAACAGGATTGACAATTCACATGTAGGGTGGCAATCCTTAGAGACAGGGGTTGACACACACACACACACACGAGTGTCGAATGAGCGGCAAATTAGAAGATGAGTTCAGTCAGGAACAGTGTGTGTTTGGGGTACACAAGAAACCGAGTATGTCCGGCACATCCTGCACTAGACCTCACAAGCCTTTAGGAAAGGAGAGAAGAGAAAAAAACATACAGAAGTAATTAAACAAAAATGACAGAGAGGGGGAACGTGATTAACAATTCCACTGCATGATAGCGAATTAATGCTGGATATCAGTGGTGGTTGCAGTGGCTCTGCAGCTTGATTTCAATATTTAAAAAGTTGAGTGCAAGAATGAATATCACACGTTCAATGAATACAGTATGACTCCGAACAAGAAGGAGTGTTGTCTTCTCGCCCTGAACTGGAGATCACACACACACTACAGTGGGACGATGCTGCGATACACACTTGGAAGAGAGCTCGTGAGAGCATTCAGAATGAGGCCTGCATTCACCTGGCAAACCTGCAATGACCCCGTGCAAACAGTAAGGCGCGGCGAAGGGTCAGAAAACAATATGATCAATATGGTTTACACCATCAAGATATAGTGTGCAGGTACAGCTTCATGCGTCCATGAACCCTTCCACCGAACTTCCATAGCTGCGTTGTGCAAGGTGGGGAACGGTCGTTTCCCCCCCTGCTGAAAACAGGATTGACAATTCACATGTAGGGATTGCCCTATAAGTCTCAAGAGCCTTTATAGACTAGGCTGGATTGAGCCCTCCTCCTCTTGCAAGAACTCCTCAACCTGGACCATCTTTGACATCCTGGGTGGCAAACTGCTGGCACGGCGCTGAAGAGCCGCTGGTCCGCTGACCGTCTCATCCTCTGCATCAATGAAGCCATTCCTGTACTTCAATGTCAAAGCCATCTGAGACCGGGCTTTCAGAAAAGGGTGCGAATCACTTCGTTTGCCTTGAAGCCAAAAGGTCTGCCTTTGCCATGGGCGATCCGTCTTCATTGCCGACCCCTCAGGAGAACTTCTCCACTCAGGAGCGAATGACCCAGTGCAACATTTCTCGTCTGCAATCCTACTTCTGGGCGGCCAACGTCCCCACTGAACTGGCCCCCAATCCACTTCCAGAAGTGCATATTGGAGGTCCCATGAGGTGGTTGGTCCTCCTCATTCTAAACTTCTCATCATATCCGCAAAAGTACTGATTGGATCTTATTGGAGGGGTTTAGAAGTGCCCACTCTCCTCTCATGGATGGTGTCATATAAATCACCACCTCAACCTGCCAGGACCTCCGAATACCTGCCAGGCGCCAAGATCAGCGCTCCCCAAAATGGAATGCGCTACAAATGAGCCACCTTCGCCCTGCCCTGGGCCGTAAAATGCAGGATGGCACTGTCGGTGCACTGTCAGTGCATGTCTGGCACATCGGAAGATGTGCTCGGACACGAAGACACCGCCACACGGCACGAGACAGCGGAACGGCCGTGGCGTTTTTTGGTTTCACACCGGTTCCAGGACATGTCGGGTTCGGTGCGATCGGTGCCGAGGGACATTTCTTCTCATTGCCCTTGCAGGTCACGGGGCAATCCTCATCTTGGAACATGCCTCAAATCATCGCAACAGCGCAGAAACCGCGACCTGAAAAATACGTCCCTTCTTGGTGGGTTCGGGAAGTTCACAACGGTCTTCGCTTGAATTCACTCATCATGTCCTTTTTGATACAAATAACAGCTGGGGTTCTCCTTGAAAGAATTCCATGACTTCACATGTATCTATAAACAAATATCAATAGAAGTATATATAATATTCTGCCTTGAATATCATTGAATTCATTTCTCCACTCAGTAGCAAATGATGGTTGAGATCTTGGCATAGAAGCCGGATGAAGCCGGACGCCACTCCCTGAATCCCAACTGTTTTCAACCTCCTTGGCATCCAAAATGCACACACCGCTGGGACACCGCTTCGCCTCCTTTCCGCCTCAATGAAACGTTGCTGTGCAAAGGGTTGGGGCGGGTTGGTGACCGGTTGTGGGTTGTAGGTGACCAGTTGTGGGTTGTAGCATGAAATTCGGCATGAAATGAGGCGGAAAAAGAAAGAACAGGATATCGAGATATATCGAGGATACAGTAGCGTAGGCCACAGGGTTTGTCACCCGCCGGGGCGGCCACACCATATCAGGGCCTTGGAGTAGGTTCGGATATCAATCCCAAACCTTGCTCATGAAACGACCCTCATGGCCCATAGATCATCGGTATTGGCTATCTCTCAACAGACCAACGTCGCCCCCCCGACTCCTGTCTCCTCCAATATCACACTTTGAACACTCAGTCTTCTTAGTCAGTTGTCTTTTGCAGTTTTGAAGACCATCTTTGGTAAAGACTCAAGAACGCCTGGAAACCTGGAGCTCCACAGGAGCTCCACAGGAGTTTATCAGATGTTTAAATCAACCATCACCAACCATCACCAACCCAAGGGGCATTCGCACTTGCTCTGGTCCTTGGCGCACTTCTTCGGTGGTTGGACCAGACCCAAGGAAGTTCCATTGGGCAGGTAGTCTTCGACCATCTCGCAGGCCACTTCATCCTAACGCACCGCGGAGCAACGCGCCAGTCATGGCCGCGGGCGCGTTCGCCGACGCGAGGCCCAAAGCGTCGCCAGCTTCGCAGTGGGCATGGTGAGTGGAGATGGGGTTGTTGGAGTGGGGAGGAAGAATGGGGTTACATGCAATTGAGAAGCTGAGAATGTCTGGGGGGGCACGTACTCTTGTTACTTCTGTGTGGGTGGAAGTAACAGAGAAGGCCAGTTCTGGTTGGATGTCCTAGTTGGGGACCTACATAAAGATGGAAAACCTCTTTGAACATACTCTTTGGGTTCAAACGGTTTGATGTGTAAATCCTGGAAACACTGCCTAGGTCCAAAGAGCCACTTATCAGCAAGAAAGCAACAAGGCGTTCAAAGTCCTGCGATTTTGGGGAAGCTGGGATATCATATCCCATTATCAGGGCCCAGTGGATGGTGATGGTTGGTAAAGGCCTTTCTCAAAAATAGTATAACTATTTAAACGACTGTTACTGGCTTAGTCTCAACGGTTGCAAGGCCTGGCCAAGTTTTAAATGGGTACACAGTGTACTCTAAAACGAATGAAGCAAAGGGTTTGTCACCAATGAAGCTTCGACTCCTAATCATGCATTCTCAGCTTCTGTTCTTTCCCAACTTGCTTGCAGTATTTTTTCTGGCACCACGCAGTGATCCATGGTTTCTTCTCTTCTTCTCTTTCCAAGGTGCAGAAGGGCAGCTTGAAGGGCAGTAGCCACCAAATGTTGGTAAACACTCGGTCCAGGAGCCCCAAAACCTGGGAAGGATGACTGGGATGCTTGCCCAGCTGGAGACTTGGCAGTTCTTCAGGTTCAGCTGAAAGATATGTGAGATGCAACTATTGAGATATCTGGCTGACGACGTCGTCTAAAGCAGAACTATTTGTTGGGTCCCACGTGAACCTCGCCCACCTCGCCGAGAGTAACCAGCCCTAACCAGTGGGAACGGCCGACATGAATTTCTCACAGAACGGCCTGTTGTCTTGTGCAGGAGGCAATGACCACCGCAAGGACATAGCCTCATGATCCCTGGCCCTGATCAAGGTTTCCGCTCTTCTGGACCGGTACTTAGTGCACTCAGTGAACTTTTCCATGGCCTAAGCTGAAGAATATGAGATAAAAAGAGATACACATTGTGGGGAAACAAACTGCAAATCAAAGAAGTCTCAGAGAGTACCAGCACAAGAGCCTTGGCGGCATCCGAAGCCCACTTACATCGTGCTGGTTGATGCCCTCTTGGATGCTTCAAGAATGTATCTCGCTTCCAAAAACCGAGCTACTTGGAACATAATGAGAAGCGTGGTGGTTATGACCCTTTCACCACTGGGGTCGTCCCCGTGGTTTATCTGTTGCCTCAAAAAAGAAGGACTTCGATGCTGCTATCTACAGTAGTGGGTGTAAAACCGAATTTCGGTTGGTGGGAAATCGGGCTGTGCCCAGGTGGTGAGTAAAATGAAAGCTAATAGCCTGTCAACAGTATCGAATTCTAGGAGCGGATCGGTGTAGGTGCATGCAAAAGCATTCTGCCCCTTCTTGCAGTCGCACGCTTGCCCGCGAGGCACACACTCTTCCTGGTGAAGAAAGCGGGCGAGGCATGGTCCGTTCTTTGGATGACATCTGACCCTTTTAGGCCGTGTTCCGAAAGACACTTGACCTTCTTTCAGAAAACACCATAAAACCTGATTCCCCCAAAGTGGTGCAGAAAACTGAGGGGCCAAAACTGTGGAGACTTGCATCAAGGTTTGCAACGAGGGCATAGCAACCTCCTTCAAGGTTCATATTGCAAATACTGGAATGTATGTATACTGGTATATTATTCATATTACATTACACATGCATGGTTTCTTACGTTCACTTGGCCGTGCGGGCCAGCCAAGATGGCAGCTTGACACTGAACAGCGATTTCATGTTTAAATGAGCCTAATGTAGCCTAATTTAATGGAAGCTAAGAAATCAGCTGTACAATCACTATCTTCAATGTAGGAATTGATACTATCTAGGGATTACCCTTCAGTATGCTGGCAAGATTGAGGAACACTCTGGAGAGAAATCTTTTTGGACAACACGAGAAATTGTGGAAAAGTCTCTGTGCAAAGGAGTTTGACATAAAAAATGCTTTCCATTTGCTCGTCGCTTTGACACTTGGCCTTGCTATGCCATTTGCTTATGCCATGCTGATTGGGGATGCTTTTGTATCCAGCTGGATTCCAGTTCTTTGAACAAGCACTATATAGCACTATACTACAAATACACAGAGAAAGACGAGGAATCTCTTGTTTGATGACCCGATCCCTGACCGTGTTTGTGGGTCGGCGAGGCCATCCTCCTTGCTCCGTTGCATTGCTTCCACAACCGCCACAACCGCCCCAACCGCCCTTCGACTCCCAGTCGCCTGCGTTCGCACCCAGTCACCCTTGGCATCGAAGGATGGGATGTAACAATAATCCTGCCAATCAAGGACCAGCTGGTGAAGTAAGCGAGTTCGGGTCCGACCACGAGTCATGCAGGGTTTTGACCACGTCTTTTCCGATTGAGATGCACTCGGAAAACAATCATGCCTGTTCAAAGGGACCGCCGCTGAAGTCACGGTGGCAACGGAACAAGTCCGCTGTTCCCGACGCAGAGCTACGCCACCGACCAAGGTCCCGACGACCTAACCCCAAAACAAACAAAACAACACATCTGCCAGCATGCTGTGTTTCCTCCCAACCAAAATCATCTTTGCATACCTAAAAAAAAAAGGCTGCTCAAAGCCCGGTGATTTCACCCCACAAAGGAAACTGTGGTAAAACCATGGTAAACCAGCGCACCACAATCTAAGAATCTAAGACATCAAACTTCCTCAAGGCGTGTTCCACAAAAAAAGGAGGCTCCGGATTGGTCCCAAACAGGTGACAGTTAACATGGGAAAATCCTCAAACACAAAATCATTACACCAACTTTGCAAACTGTACCAAACATCGCCAGTGATTTCGTGATAGTCGTGTGGCGTGCCAGTTTTGAGCGGATCATAAAAATATACCAGCATGAGCGACAGGGACGTTGAAAGCCAAAGACCCCCCAAACACTCACGATCAAATCCGAAGAGAAAACTCCACTCCCAAACCATGCATGGGACTGGAATAGTTACCATGGCTGGGTCATGGGGTCAATGATGGTCAATGTATGTAACTATTCCAGTCTGGAGTGTCGGGGACTGGTATAAACGTGAACGTTTTGGTTGAAAACCCCCAAGTGTACGAGGGAATTGTGTGGTCAAAGCACGACTGATTCCAAAACAGTTAATACAAGGACTTTGACTCTGAAGATCATTGAAGAATACAGCATACATCAGAAACATGACAAGAGACTGTGACTAAGCAACTTTGCTGTTTCGCCTCCATT